ATCATGGAAGGTGGGGGGGGGGGGGGGTGCATTTTACTTGAATCATTTGTTGGATGAATATGTAAGCGAAGGTATTTGTGTGAAGTTTAATACCTTTAAATGTTGGAAAGAGCCGGTCATCCTAAAGGCACGATAAAAATGATGAAAATTCTGTGATTCACAAAAAATGATTCACATAAAAATGTTTTCTGAGACATCCCCATAAGATGAATATACCATATATGACGCTTTCAGGTCGGAAAACCTAGTTAGGGCCTTATAAGAGCTCAAGGGTTGTACCGTGTGTATCCTCGGACGAGTCTCACCAGCATTGTAGAGGCTGCTCCGATCACAAAGGATTCCATGTAGGAAGTTCAAACAACTTGTCATAAACCTTAGCTACCTGGAAGGCAGATATGTACACTACTGGCTTGATATAGTCAGCTCTTTGCGCTATTGCAAAAGCTGAAATCTCGTCCGAATACCCCTTCTATGCTATTTCCGTCATGGCAATCTCGTCCAACCTCTATTTTCCCTATCTTCAAGAAGCCGTATTTTTCTCTAAACCACCGCATTCTCTTATTTTTTTTTCACTACCGAAGAACTACTCCCAACATATACTTCCTCTTTCCGAATAAAAATGGGATCCCCATGATAAACGTGAACTGTGCCTTTAACTACCATCGATATTGTTGTGAGATGATGGGCAAATTAGCCAACTCTGTAAGAGCTCAAGAGATGTTGAGAACCTTTTATTTTTAGCAAACTCTCAACCTATCCCTGGAGTACCGCCTGCGGCAGTAACAGGTGTGTTATTGGACACAATTCATAAGTTGAAAAAGTAAACGCTGCTTTTGTAATTGTGAATGTCTTCAATTGTAGAGGAGAGCTGGTCATTTTACCTAATATCGTTATCGTTGAATGTGTAAAAATTCAAAATAGGTCCAGGAGTTTCTGTACGAGGTACAGTTTTTCTACTTCTACCTGGCGTTCATCCTGCACCGTCGCAGGGTTCGCTCTTCTTGTTAGCCTTCTCCACTTCCTTCTGTCTACGACATATTCTGCCTTTAGTTTCAGCTTTGGTCCTCCCTTGTCCTTCTTGATCATGTCCCGCTAACTCTTCTGTGGAGCTCTTCATGGTCGCTTTCCCTGAACGTCGAACTCCGTTGCTTCCCTTATTGGATGATTAGATAGTGTTCTTAAGATGTGTCCCTGCTATCGTAGACTCTGCTCTCTCATCATCAGTTGGATAGGGGCTCTTATTGAACAATTTGAATATATCAAAGAGGTTTTCATTACACACGCGGTAGTAGGTGCCCTTCATTATAGAAAAAAATGGGCAAGCTGGAAAGCTATCGATATTAGTGAGAATATGTTGATAGTGTTGTAAATTACGCACGCTAATGTACTTTGCATTTCAGGGAGCCTCCCGAATGGTATGTGATTGATCATACTAAACCAGGCTATCAATGGGAAATCCGTCAATCGAGGCTGATATTTTTATTCAGCTAATATTTTCGTATCTACAATCTCCCAAATAAATTTTTGAAAAGCTGTCGATTTCCATGTGTACTGTGCATTTGATAGATAGAAAATTTTTCCATGGTTCCTGACTATCTTTTGCATTACCCCGCTCTGTTGCAGCTTTGTAAACTCCAATGAATATGGGCTTCTGTAAGAGAAGTGTGCAGCAGAAAAAGTAAGNGGAAGGTACGATCAGAGGAATCATTCAATACCTGAAGGCTCACTCCATTATAAAAATGGTTTTTTGAGATTCCCCCGAAGATGAATTTGAGGCCTCTGCGTATACCATATCTGGCACTATTAGGCCGGAGAACGGCCTAGTCAAGGAGTTATAAAGGCTCAAAGATTGGCCCGTGTGCATCCTCGGACGAGTTTCACCGGCATTGTAGAGGCTGCACCGATTGCAAGGGGATCCATGTAGGAAGTCAAAAAAACTTGTCATGATCCCTAGCGACCTGAAAGGCAGACCTGTACGTTCTGGTTTGATGTAGTCAGCTTTTTGTGCATTTGTAATAACTGAGATTTCGTCCCAATACCCTTTCCATGTTATTTCCGTCATAACAATTTCGTCCAACCTCTATTGTCCCTATTTTTGAGAAGCCATATTTTCCACTGAATCAGAATCAGAGAGTTCTCTCGCTTTCTTCACTACCGATGAACAATTACCAATCTATACTTCCGCTTTTCGAATAGAAACGAGTACCTCAAAATTACGTGAACTGTGCCATTATTTAACGGTCCATATCAGGGTTAGGGTATCAGTTATGGAGCTAGGTCGTTAATCATCCTGAATACTCAATCTAGACGCACGTAACTGAGTTGAGGCATTCAGGGATATCGGTTATGTATGACTAACGTAAAAGGAGCATCAGGTCCTAGTTTATTTCTCATA